TGGCATCTTCCCTTCAACAAATTCCTGAAAATGCTGATGAATTATTGAATAGAGTTTTCCTCAAATCGCCATGAGCTCTTGGGGTTCTTTGGATAATCATGATCAGTTCTTTGCAAAAAAAAAAAAAGTCTTCCATTTTATTAAATTACATTTATGCTCTTTTTCGTGACGCCTCCTAGGCGGTCAGCTGTGTCAAGATGAAGCTGAATATCTCCTTCCCCGCCACTGGCTGTCAGAAACTCATTGAAGTCGATGAGGAACGCAAGCTGCGCACCTTCTATGAGAAGCGCATGGCCACAGAAGTAGCTGCTGATGCCCTTGGTGAAGAGTGGAAGGGTTATGTGGTCTGGATCAGCGGTGGGAATGACAAACAAGGCTTTCCCATGAAACAAGGCGTTTTGACCCATGGCAGAATGCACCTGCTGTTGAGTAAGGGCCATTCTTGTTATAGACCAAGGAGAACTGGAGAGAGGAAGCGCAAGTCTGTTCGAGGCTGAATTGTGGACGCCAATCTGAGTGTTCTCAACTTGGTTATTGTGAAGAAAGGAGAGAAGGATATTCCTGGACTGACAGATACCACTGTGCCTCATAGGTTGGGACCTAAAAGAGCTAGTAGAATCCAAAAGCTTTTTAATCTCTCCAAAGAAGATGATGTCCGCCAGTATGTTGTCAGAAAGCTCTTAAACAAAGAAGGTAAGAAGCCCAGGACCAAAGCACCCAAGATTCAGCGTCTTGTTACTCCACGTGTCCTGCAACACAAACGCCGGCGTATTGCTCTGAAGAAACAACACACTAAGAAAAACAAGGAGGAGGCTGCAGAGTACGCTAAACTTTTGGCCAAGAGAATGAAGGAAGCCAAAGAAAAGCGCCAAGAACAGATTGCCAAGAGACGTAGGCTGTCCTCACTGAGAGCTTCTACTTCTAAGTCTGAGTCCAGTCAAAAATAAGTCTTTAAGAGTAACAAATAAATAATCAGACCTTGAAAAAAATCACATTTATGGTGAGAATTAGGTTGCAAGTCTAAATTTAATTAATAGGCCCTGATTCTAGACTCTCTCCAGAGAGGTAGTTGAGTCTCCAATGGCTATGAGAAGAGGAGTGCACCATCATTTACACCAGAAGAGGAGTGCAGAGAATTGGAGAAGAAAGACGAGAGGAGGAAGCCAGGTTTGGCTTTTCTTCTATGTCTCCACCCCAGCCACAGCTGGCTGGGCCACATCTGTCCTATGGCTTTGCATCTCCAGCACTGGGATTGCAAACACGAACCTTTTCTCACACATTGCCACCATATTTTGAAGGCAAGAGAAAGGACTTGTAAGCACATACGATTAGTCATCAGATCTTGGCACAAAGACTAATGTTTGTCCTGGTCACCCACCCTCAGGTAGCCTGCTGGACATTTACTGTCACATTACCAAGCTTCATGGCACTTGTCACTAAGCAATCTTTCCTTCCTCATGTATGTAGGCTGTTTAGTGGTTGAGTAGTGTCTCTTTTCCTCTGTAGCTCACTTGAGTATGGTAAGCACCATGTGATGTATGTCTATCCATGGGCACTGTAAGATCTTGATAAACACTCAATAGATGTTGAATGAACAAGGAGGTGGTGGGGATGGGCTGTTTATAGTCTCTCTTCTCATACTTGGGCTGTGTCTGTCTTAGCTCATTAACTGTGTCATGATATCTAGTCATGGGGTTGCTAGGCATTTGAAACTCTGCTCCCAAGAGTATCTCTCTCAGGCTTCCCACTCAAGGTGTAAACTTAACTTTTTGAGTAAGATCCATGAAACTCATCAACTTCATCTTCATGTATGTATCAAAATCTATCACCTTACACACATGTATGCTTATGAAGACCTACCTAGGAGGGCAACCCTGCCCCACTGTCTTCACAGGAAACATTGAACTTACCAGCCCCAAGATTTATGACAGAAAGATATGAAGTGGTGGTATGCACTCCAGAAGATTTTTATCCAATCTTCTCTCTCCCTCTCTCTCTCTCTCTCTCTCTCTCTCTCTCTCTCTCTCTCTCTCTCTCTCTCTCTCGCTACAATTAGTGTAGTACCTTGCACTTCAGTCCCCACTCTAGTTTTGTTGGATTTTCCATATATAGAGCCTTGGAACCCTGTAAAAGTAATAGCGTGCTGGAGATGCTTGACAGATAATATGAAAATTCTCCAATGCCTAATGGCAGTCCAATTAAAACAGCCCCACATGCTGTCCTCTTCATCTCTGCTGGAATTTATCTGGGATTTTCAAGTGGAATGGATCTGTATATAATAACCTATAATTTTGTCATTTGTATGTGAAAGGAAATTGCACTCTACAGTTTCTCTCCTCAAAGTGCATTTAACACCTTCTGTATCTTGGGGCTAAAGAAGCGCCTCAGCAGTTAAGAGCACTTGATGATGATGCAGGAGACCAGAGTTCAGTTCCAGGTACCCACACAACAACTCACAAACAGCTGTCACTCTAGTTCTGTGGGATACAGTGCCCTCTTCTGACCTCCATGGACACTTGCATGTAAATATACATGCAAGCAAAACATTCTCATACATAAAGTGATTTTAAAAACCTTCTATATTAAAACTTTCCTTGCCATGAATTTATATTTCACTGGAACAAGGACAACTGGAAGTGATCACCATCACTGTTGGATTCTAAAAGTGTACCATATAGAATAGATAAGAATGAGAGAGCCACAGCGAAAGAGGCTATATGTATAGGTCTTTTTGCTCTCCTAACCCAGCACCCTACCCAACTCACATCTCTATCTTTCCAATTAGAGTGAGGAGTCTGTGTTCATACTCTATCCAGGAAGAGTAGACTTGTTTAATACCTGTCACCTGCACTCTCTCTTTCTGTGACAAGGGAAGAATCAGTGACAGATAGTTTTGAATAACACACTCTACTCAAACCTAGCTGGGGCTTTAGACACACCAGGCAAGGATTCCAGCACTGAGTGATGAACCCAGCTCTGGACACTATTCCGAAATGTGTATCCATGACATTGCACCACCTTCTTTAACTGTGAAATTTGCAAACAGTGAAGGATGTAGTGATGCTATAAATAGAGACCAACAAGATGTCCTGACACTAGTCACACAGACACACAGCTGACACGATTCATCTTCATACGATAGCCACACAGACGCACAGCTAACACGATTCATCCTCATACAATAGGTCAAGTCTCTCTTCATCTGAAATGCAAATTTTTTTGCAATTAAATAGGGTTTGAAAAATGGATCAAGAAGAATTTGGAGAGTTCTGCTTGATGTTTAGTTACTATTTGACTTATATCATCATCATGGGACACTAAATAGACTTAAGGCAAAGAATACTGACCTGAACAAATTTTAGTGGCCAATGAAGTTTTAATGAATTGAAACAAATCAAGATACGGATGTGCAAAATCTCCATTCAAATTTGTAATCACAAATATGTTCAAGCATAAATCATAAAAATTTATATTTTTTGATAAATAGACAATTTAGTCACTTCTTGGAACAAAACCAGTGAAGTCCAGATATCCAACAGAAAGGCTAATTCAATTCAGTGTGGACAGTCCTGGAATGCAACACACAGCCAACATGAACTCTCTAGATACAAAAATATTGTATCTGGACTGGACAGCTCTCTATTCCAGATAGCCTCACAGAACTCTGAGTATGCAAAGTGAAAAATAGGCTCTGAAATTGAGCACTTCCCTGGAATATGAAATCATTTCATATTAACTTCAACACAAGCAGGAGGAAGCAGATAAGATGCGCCATTGCCTTCATCATGCTGTCTTCTCTGTGTTTTTTGCTCTCTTTATTTTTTCATAATAAATTTCAAAGAATAAAATTAGGTAATACACTCTCAGTTGCTTTTCAGCTGGCCCTGCTCAGGATTTGCAGTAAGGGCCACAAACTAACATAGGTCCACAAGAAACAATGTTTTAGGCAGTATAGAAAAAAGACTTCACCCTGTCGTTCCTGTGGTCACAGGTTTCTGGCTGCTGTACAGATGTTCAGGTGAGACTCTGTAGAGCCAGGCTAGCCTGCATGGAAGACACTGTCCTACACTGCTGCTTGCTACTGCAGCCTCAGATCCTACACACTCGCTTCTCTGGAATACTCTTCCTGCTCCATGAGGCAATCTATTCTAAGGATCCAGTTTGGAAATTAAAGGAGTTGCCCAAAGGTTTGAATATCGGGAAATGGATTTAAATATTGGCTGCTTGTGTACTCATGGTCACCTCTGAAACACAAAAGTTGAACAATCTGTATACTGACAGACCAGGAAGTGACATAAGCCAGGGCATCCAATATAAACTTCTAGGCTTCTCGTCTCATTCACATGAGAATTTCTGCACCTCTTTAAACTCACAAAAGGCTAAAGCAATCTCTGAATAGCAGTTTATTCAAAAGAAGAGACAAGGGCAGCAAGTGGAGGGTGGAGTGACAGAGAAAAGAGCAGAGGTCCCCGTTGAGCTGGTCTCCTGAGCTCAGAGCATCGGCCCCATGATCAGACTTCTCCAATGCCTTGTAAAGCTGTAATGGCTCAATTGCCATCTGCTCATGTGTCTAACCTGAGCATCCTCGTGCTCCTTCCGCTAAGGTTGCCTGACACTGACTTCCTACAACATTAATCTGATTTTATTAACAATTAATATGACTTAAATATTAATTTGTAATTAATTACTATATCATAAATGAGCCTTGATCTTAGCCGTGTGCTGACATGGAACACTACCCTGACATCCCCAAGGCAGGAAACTGATTAATCCGTGTAACTGCAGAACAGTGCGTTGCAGAGGTTCAGGACACATTGTTACCTATGTGGCTAAGGTATAACTTTGAAACTAACGTGGAGTCAAGTTCAATGCAACATAGAAAAATGAGAAGTTACATCAGGTATGGTAAGCCACGCCTATCATCTCAGCACTAAGGCGGTAGAGGCAGAAAGATTTGGAGTTGTGATGCTCCAAACCTTCTTGGCCTGATGCTCTCTTACCTGATAGCATATTGTCTGTTTTTATTGAAGGAAACTTCAAGGTCATCTCATGCTTGTGCCTATGAATCATCAGATGGTCCTCTGTTGGGAAACGCTGTCAGGTGATAGAGAGAGGAACAGGAGACATTCAGTTTGCAGCACGTATTTGACATCATAGAGAAAAAGAATCAAAAACAAGAGAGACTAAAAACAAATATATTGGTTCTGAAAAGAATATTGTCATATGAGTCAAGTCCCGTGCCGGTTTACACTCATGAGCTGGGTGTGGAGGGAATTCCTCCCAACTCCACACAACTACGTATGTTATCATGTTCACTCGTGTGCCAAAAGGCTTGCCTGTGTGGCAAAGGACTACTGGTAATGCTCTCTGCCGCTAGTCATCCCACAGTTCCTCACACCTTCCCCCCGAACTTTCCCAAAGTCCTCTGCTTAGTGCATAAGTGCAGCTGCACTGACTGAACAGGTGACCACAGAATCTATGTGTTTCTTGAGAACTAGAGGTTTCCATCTGGGGGTTGTGGGGGGTGGGTAGGAGAACTTTTCAAGTTCAAGAGACTTTGGACTGTCTTATCTTTTGCTAAATAATGCAAAAATGCATATTTTAATGACAGAAAATACAAAAAGCCCTGTCAAAAGTACTAAAACAACATACACACATACACACACACACACCACACACACACACAAACACACACACACAAACACACACACACACACTACACCCTGGTGCCTGCCTCTGATAGAAAGCCTCTTAAGAAAAGATAGCAGAATTGAAAGGAATGCTTCTCATGGTCCTGACCTATGACTAACAGTGGCAGAGAGTATGAAGCCCAACACGAGGAACTGGATGGAGATCCCGGCAGCACTGCAAACATTGAAAAACATGTGGAACTTCCTGTAATAGTCACTGCTTTACATAATAGTACAAAATTAAGTCAGAGGCATAATAAGTATGCTAGACATTATCTACAGATTAACCAAAAATAAGAGAAACACATGACATCGAAAGAATTCTGATTTATGTCAGGCTTTGGGAAAGAATTCCATGCCATGCTTAATTTTTTAAATATATCTACTAACGTACGGCATGATGTCTTTACGGTATGTTTCTGTTTATGAAAGTCTAGTCCCCGTATTATCTGCTTTATTTTAATTATACATATGATTTCACAGTGCCATGACAAATTATTTGGGGTGTTGTATACTGTACATGCTGTAGTCAGTCTGTATTTATCTGAAATTTTCAGGGAATGATGTTAGGGTTGTCAAAAAGTTTTCAGCCATTTCTGCCTCTCTTGAGTTGTGGAGAGTTGTGTGGTGAGTCTGTCCAACGCACTGTAAACGAAAATGACCCTGCCACCCAGAGGCAAGTGTCTGTTTGCTGCTGTAAAACCTCTGTCACTTCTCTTGCTGAACTCATGGTATAGCTAGGTGACTCACACCAGAAATAGTGACCCCGCAATCATCTGAAATATCTCAAGGGTTATGCTGAATTCTAAAGGAGAGGGAAAAAAAGAGTTTCCTAAAATTCTACCACAGAAATGTAGCCGTCAGTAACAGCAATGAGCTTTGTGGTTTGGCTGCAGTTTGATGCTGAGCAGACTGCAGCCTGACCTGGCTCAGATCGGTATGCTTGTAATGACTGACATGAACAGTTTCAGTACACATTTACTGAACACAGTGAACTCAACAGTGACTATGAAAGTCACATACAAGCATAGGAAAACAATAGATTCCGGTAAACATTTCTCAGTCCTTGGTAACTTGAAAGAAACTTCCAGAACTCAGGATAGTCAACATGAATCTCTATTACCTTTGAACCACCGTGGTTGACGTTGTTTATTTCTTTTTACATAGAGAATGGATTTGTGGTCAAATGGGACTCCACTAGGCTGAAGCCTATGAACAGTTCTGAAAGTTGTTATTTATTTGATACTTGTAGTATATACTGAAGAATCTGCAAGCAGTGGCACTCACACCGACTTCTGGTTACCCAGAGGTTTGCTTCATTAAACTTCAGGTTTCCCTGTTTCTGTATTATTTATTCTCTTGATTTTCATTTATTTCATTATTTCATTTCGTTTCTTCTCTTGATTTTAACACCAAATATTTAACAATAGTACAAATGAGTTAGAGAGAAAAGTTAATGTAATATAAGCAATATGATACTATATTTTATTTAGTATTAATAAACCACTTTAAAAATGTACTCTATGAGTGTGTTTTGCTTGCATGTATGTCTGTGTGACACGTGTGTGCCTAGAATCCACAGAGGCCAGAAGAGGCCATCTGATCTCTCAGAACTGGAGTTACAGATGGTTCCTAGCTGTCATGGGTGCTACGAACTGACTGATTCAGGCTTCTGAGTCAATGCTCCTAACCCCTGAGTTATCTTTCCAGCTTTAATAAGCTAGGGTGGGTTTTTTGTATAATATTTTCTAAAGATTTCTTTTTTAATTGTGTGTGTGTGTGTGTGTGTGTGTTTGTGTGTAACATGTGCAGCATGTGAATGTAGGTCCCCACAGATGCCAAAAGAGGATGTCAGATACCCTTTTAATTACAAGTGGTTATGTGTTAACTAAAACGGGTGCTAGGACCCCAACTTGAGTCCTTTGTGACATCATTACCTGCTGCTGACCGCTGAGTACGCTCCAGCCTATAATAAACCACAATAGCCAGGATGAAATATTTAATCAGGTTTTTCTGCTTTTTGTTTGTTTGTTGTTATTACACAAAGTCTCACTACCTAACTATATAGCCAAGGCTAGCCAGGAACTCAGAATCCCCTTCCTTAGCCTCCTGAGTTCTGGGATTATAGGGACACGGCTATACACCGCATGGTAACTAAAGTTGCCTTCTGAATGGGATGAGTATTCATACATTGTGAATAACTGAGATGCATAGTGTAAAACAGACATGAGAGCTGAAATTAACAAGTCCCCCAGAGGATAAATGAACAGTGGGAACACTGGGATTCTAAGAGAGCCAGAGAGCACAGTAAGGGTGTTCCTCGTTTCTTCAGAGACAGAGTTCATGTTTACAGATTAGGTCTGAAAAGACCTTCCAGGTATTAGAGGGCATCCCCAAGAGAGGAAAGTTTTTCTCCAAGAAGAGAAAGTGGAGCCGAGGAGACTTTCCATCACCTCCTCCGAGCACTGACAATCCTGTTTCTTCATCTTCAATGTGCCCTGATCTTTTTCTTCCATGTCCCCAGATTATAGGATGACACTAGGGCAAATGCTGTGATACAGTCATATACATCACACCTATAGTCACACATTTATGACTATGAGTTACTAATATTCTGCTAGGGATGACACTCGGGACTACCGGCTGATGTCTGCGTCTTCGTTCAACTAAAAGGTGAGCATAGTTTTATAACAGTTTGTCAAGAAAAGGGAAACACTCCCACATAAAGGACACACTGATACGTCATCACAGCCAAAGCTGGAGGTGGGTGGCTGCGACTTGGAATTGTCCCCTTAAAATGGAGATAGTACATGAATCTTAATTTCTCACATGTATCCAACATTTCCCACCGTCCACTTAGCCCCCTTAAAGAAGCACCTTGGCTTGCTCCTTCAACAAAATATTCAAGGTTATTCAAAATGGGATCTAGTCAAGAACTGGGCAGTAAGGGTAGTCAGTGACACAGTACTTGCCTAGGATATGCAAGCTCCTAGGTTCAAATCCCCAGTGCCACACATAAAACATACTTAAACCAAAAAGTCAACTGCACTCAATCCCCTCCAACTTTGCATGTGACTTGACAGAGTCTCCCTCTAGTCCCTCTAGGCTCAACTAAGCTGAGGTGCTCACTGCCCCGCAGGATGCCCTGAGCCCTCTGTCTTCTTGGCACTATTCCTTCAGGCTCTCCTGCCTTTTCACCAGTGTCTCCATCTTGACTAAATTCACCCTGGCTATTCTTCAGCTGCCTCCCTCGCAGGCTGCCCCTGGATCACTCTGCTTCCGGGCACTGCCTCCTGCTCCTGAAAGGCTCTTCTGTGCCACCACTCTAGCTCCCTTGCCATCAGCCACCCACTCACTCATTAATCCCTTCCAGTCAGGTCTCCGCCCTCTGCTTTCTCCCATGTCTCCTGCGATCACCTAGCTGCCAAATCCAACAGCCGTTGCTCCATCCTCCAAAGATCCTAGCTCCGACGGCATAGAATACCAGTGACTACATGACTATGATGTTGGCCTGTTTATATCTTTGCCTGACTCCGGGGTGTGTGTTGGGGGGGGGGGAAGTAGAGTGTAGAGCGATGCATAGAACAGAGCGGGAGAGTACCGGAAATTGGAGATTCAGAACAAAGGCATACAAAAAAATCAAGGCTGTAACCCAAATGAAACCACAGGCACTGTCAACCAGGAGCAGTTTTGATCCTAGAGGACATCTGGCAATCTCTGAGGATGTTTTGATTGTCACAGCTGCCGTGTGCTATTGGCATCTGATAGGTCAAGACAGGAATGTTGCCAAGCATCCTATAATATACAAGATAGTGTCCATGTCAAAGAGCAACGTGGCCTTAGATGTTGGTGATGCTAAGCTTGGGACAATATATGCCATACAGCTCAATACGTATGCACAGACATCTCTCTCCTATCTGACTGCTGTGAATCTCACATATGGCTAGATGCTCTTCTCTGCTGGTGTTCCAACACTGGGATATAGCTGAGAATCCCCACCTAGCCTGACTCCTCCTTAGCTGGGTCTCTGGAGGTCCTGTTTCATAAAGAAACTTTTCATTTTCCTCCCCCTAAGTAAAATCAGCTCCCCAGTGTGTTCTGTTGTTTCTTTATGAAAAAAAAAATGCAATCAACTAGTTAATAGGTGATTTCATCATATGATTATAGATCTGATGCCAAGACCAGATATGTGTATTCAGAGCAGTGTGGTTTTCATGGGAAAGCTGGACTGACTAGACACACACAGTAAGTGCCGAGAAAAGGTATAGGAGGCTTGTAATAAACAAAACTGAATGTCTATTCCCACAGCAAAGCAAAGCAAATCCCTCCAATCTCCTGGGTTCCTTTGGACAAGGAGGCTTCCCTCTGAAGAAACTGAGGGGTGATTTGTTTTGGTTAGGGACCAGGTTTTAACTTAGTAAAGAGATACCATAGAAAGCCCTTGTCTACTGGGATTTTCCCAGTTACTTATCAACCTCTCCAGACTCCCCTAGTATTTCCTACTTCACAATGGCTTTCAGAACCCATTTGCTGCAACATCTTTTTTCTCTACCAGTTTTCTTGTTTACAAGTGAGAAATAAACACTGGCACAAAATCCTTTGATGAAAATTTCTCACTATGGCTGCTCAGCAGCTAACATCAGCAGCAACATTTTGTGTTTCTAGGACTGTGTTTCCCCCCAAGACTCCTCTTCAGAACGCACACCCAATCCTCCAGGAACTCTGGAAAATTATAAGGAGGATACTCATCTGACTCGCTCTGACCCCTAAGCCCCACCCCCACATCGCACTGCCAACCCTGTTACACAAACTAATGGGGGTGGGCCTAGGTTTCCTTGAAGGTAAATGAAAATTACAAAATAAGTGTAATCTTCCACATTAGCTAAAGGCGTATGCTCAGACTCAGAAAAGTGTCCTATCTGTCATAAAATAAAGATCTTGGTATGAAAACCATTTCTACATATCTAAACCCCTGGAACATGGCATTACCCAAAGATAGAGTCTTGAGTCAAGAACAAAAATGTCACCTTCAAGTTTAAAAATAAAATGCAAAACTGTAATTTCCACATAATGGATGTGGTTTCTAATATGATGGATTTAGCAGCAGTGGTGGTGACAGCAGTGGACATTGGCTGAACACTAGGTTCATGCCCCATATGAAGTGACTAAGGAGAGACCCCGAGATTCCAATCCCACAAGCCAAGATAGCCACTCTGCTTAGCACTTCTTGTCCAAGAACTATAGTTCAAGAATAGTCATAGGGGTATATGTCTTCTCAGCGAGGAAGGAGAATCCAACCCATGACTTTGAGATATCTCCTAAAAAGCACCCAGCATACATGCAAGCAACTGGCAGTTGTGAAGTACACACCATCTTCCCCTTTCTGAATAACAGCCCAGCGGAAATGGTGGGCCAGGATGTGTCTGGCTTGGTTCCGGAGGAAGTTACTCATAGGGATGTCAGCACCACTGTGTTTTGGGGTGAAAGGGAAGTATTTCAAACTCTAAAGTGTGATCTAACGGTAGTAAAGATGAGAATCGTGATGTCAACCATTCGAGAGAGGCGGAAAGCATTTCAGTGAGGAAAGAAAACCCAGTGGATATGGTGGTCCAATGGAAAATACCTTTCCGAGGGGGGAGGGAAAAGCATTTCCTACAAGCTGGAGCACAGAGGATCCACACACTCACCTGGGAGCAGCCTGGGGCACTGCAGACAAACGGCCTCTCCTGCTCCAAGTTCATCTTGGAGTCCTCATAAATCTGAAGGGTTAAAGGAAAACAGAAACCCATGAAAATCTCTTCCTTCTGCTTTAAACGCATGAGAAAAACAATCATGGGGAGACCTCTATTGCCACTTCCTAAACTGAACAAGTCACACATGAACACAGTGAACACGGGTCCTGTTTTCCAGCTCATTGGTTCTCCTGACGTGGATTCCTAGTGCGCTCTCCTTAGCACATATTAAAGAAGTCATAATGATGTTGAAACCTAAAGCCTGCCTATCCAATGGTAGCTGGTGGGGGCTATTGCCAGGTAAGAAGACCCCAACTTCCCACAAGATTCCAAGGCAAAGCACACCACCTCGATCTTACTGAGAACTCTGAAACTGGGAAAGCCAGAGGAAGACCTTCAACTCTGTGCTCACCCGGCAAAAATTGAGTATGGTCAAAATGGCCTTTACCAGTGACCCCAATGCCAAGAAAGTGCGGCCTACATGGCTCTGTGGTTCACTCATCTGTTGCTATTTGTTGGCTTTGTTTCTTTTTAAATGACAGGAAGAACCACATAAACTTAAGGGATATTACTTAGATGATTTTTTTTAAATATTCCAAAACCAATATTAGAATTTCATTTATGTATTACATATGGTTTTAAGGTTATGTGGGTCTATTGCTAAGCTTAAGAACCTACTGCCTTAACCCTGGGTACAGGAAGCAATGTTTCTTTAAAACATTGATGATGATCAAACGTTTTGGTGATTCCAAAAGGAAGATAGTGGCAGCTTGTCATCATGGACGAGTCCCACTGTGCAAGTATGTCTTGTTTGTACATTTTACTCCTCCTTCCCCAAACATTAATCTCTCATCTTCTCGCTTTTCCAAAACACAAAGTGAAGATGTTCGCCTTAAATTACATTGCCAGTCAGAGATTAAAACACGAAACTAAAAAAACACTTGGGGTAAAGGTAAATCCCTTCCCAACGAGAATCTTCTTTGCAGACGGTTTCTCAACCTGTGGGTCACAGCCCATTTGGGAGTCAAATAACCCTTTTATAGGGGATGCATATCAGATGTCCCACATATTAGATATTACATTGTAATCCATAACAATAGCAAAATTACAGATATGAGATAGCAATGAAATAATTTTATGGTTGGGGGTCAGCACAACATGAGGGCTTTAAAGGATGGCAGCGTTTAAGATGATAGAGAACCACTGCTCTGGAAGGACTTCCCACTGGCTGCCCCACAATACAGTGACAGGATAATTTTAATGCTTCCCTATATTAAGCATTATCATGTAAATTCCTTTTCTGAGCTTACTTAAATTTTTCTTATGAGCTAATGCTCTTAATTTTTGTTTTTCAATTGACACATATTTATGAAATATAAGGTAGAAATTCAACAACTCATATGCGGCCTGTAATGATCAAACTGCCGTGATTGGCATGGTTCCTTTAAACACAGTGTCTTGGTGCTTGGCCCTTGTAAACTTTTCTCTGCCACTTCTTCAAAACATATGTAAAATGTTTTATATCCGTGTATTATATTTACGAGAAGAAATAAAACATACGCGTATTTGAAATCTCTCTGCTTCCTCTTATCTGAAGAAAGTTATAAGCAACAAAAAATAACTTCTACTTTGTATTTATTTATTGAATGTTGCCATTGCTGATCTCAGGTCATCACTCCTTCCAATGACAAGAAGTACAGGACAATAATTTTGATCGGGGAAGGCAAAATAACTACAATAAACTAGCTTAAGAAATAGTATAAAGTAGTTTATTCCTTAATTAAATCTGCCATGTTTTTCTGAAAAACAAAAAATCAGCAAAACCAGCAAAAACTATTTTAATGCTCTCCTGGAAACGCCTGTGTCTGTGGGTCTGTCTGCTTGGCAATGGATTCACGCTTCTGTGTCCCCACCTTGACAATAGGCGTAGCAATATTTACCTTCGGCCCCTTTGTTCCTGTATCTGGTTCCTTGGTTTAGAGCCTGTCAGACATTTTGAAATCATGGAGAAGAGTGGGGTACCTTGGAGGTAAGAGAAGTTTGTGGGTATCAGTGAGTATCCTCACAGATAGGAATCAGTCCCTGTGTGTAAAATTATAATTTAACTCCTTGTTTGCCTGTGTGACTATTGGGTGCCACGTGAGAGCTTCGTTTGCTAATGCCACAAAGGAGCAGTGTGTTTACAATCAAAACGAAGATTACATGATAGTCAAACGGGAGAGCTCTATGTATGCATATTTATGGGGGACATCGGAAGGTAGTAATTATTGATAATTAAATGAATGTCCCAGCAACAGCTACTGTTGAGTCTCTAAAGAGTTTAACGAGCCAACGTAAGGGAAGAGTTGGCCAAACTCAGGGACTAAGTCTAAGGAGAAATTGTCTTTCCATTATAATCACTACCGGACCCCAGTCCTTGACCCACCAGCATGCTGGCTTTCCCCATAAATTCAGGCTCAGTGCGCCGATATTCTACAACTCTGCCTGGCATCAGTATTGACCTCCTCAGTCATCAGTTACAATTTCTGCTTCAAACGTCTTGGAACCGAACTCTGATATTCATGCTTGAACACATTCCGGAGCCCAGTTCCACAGACATACTCTGAGGTCCTGAGGTCATATTGCCTGGCTGTCATGTTTGGAGGAATGTGATTAATCTAAATCGATACTGATATCTATTAGCAAAAGACTTTAAACGTCAAGAGACACACTATGAGATACACAAAGTCTCTTCTCAAACAGTCTGAAGCATAATCAGCAGTACATTCCACTGTTAACTACTATGCTTTCACTTTATTTTCCAGACGGAGATGAATCTGTAGCAACTTATTAAATGATATGCAATAAACATGGAGCAAATCTGTTTGGCAACATAGCATTGGAATAAAAGTCTTGAGGCACACAGCCGTTGCTAATATAAAGTAGGTTTTAAGGGAACCGTGAGGTCTAATGTGAGTGGGTGTGTATACACTGTATAAACCTCAACTACTTAATTTTGATGATCTACAGTTCCCACATGCAACGTCTGCAAACAACACTTGCTTGCTAATTCGTCTCCATGTAGGTGCCTGCAATAGACTTTCTAAATGGAACCACTCTGCCATGTAGGCCTCATTACTTTTATCAACTGGTATGATCTGGTCTGATGTATTAGTCAAAAGGCATGGTGGATTTTTTTTATGGTCTATTATTATGGTTCTTTTCTAGTGAATAGTACAATAATTACACTCTCAGACCCTTACTGAAGCTCTGCATGGGTACTTTTATCACCCACCAAGTGGGCCAAATGATTCAGATTCGCTCTAGCCAGGTTCTCCCACACTTGGTCCTCAGAAGCAAGGCCTCGTCCTCTCATTTCCCATTCAGATATTTTACTGGTTGGGATTTTTTAATAAACTAAGTTTGGTTTGGCAATTACCACAGCCTAGGCTCCACTGCCTAGAGCTTCCGTAGTAGGCGTGCAATAAATATTTGCGGAACGGATAATGAATCTTGAATCATCACAATAAATTGTCCCAAACAGCCTTCTGTTCTCAACTCTAGAGGCAACTTTTTTTTTTTTTTTTTTTTGCTCAGAGTCAAATTTGAGAGGTGAGAGATTGTGTGGCCACAGACTCTTCTCTTCTCTGGCTATAGTCTTAAAACATCTCCCCAGAATTCATGGGGGTGGGGAGCCAAAGGTGCTTTTTTTTTAGTGGACAAAAACTGGAGGAAGCTAGTTTCTCTCTCTTCATTCCATCAGATATCACAAGCAAGCAAGACGACCTGGGTTCCTGGGCTGTTCATGACCCTATAGACCACCCTTTGAGGACTCCTGACTTTGGCTGTACAGATGAGAAATAGCCCCACTGTGGCAGATGTTCTACCACTTAATAGTTTTTAAATAGCACCATATTAATTGCTCTTTCCCTACCGTCAGACTCACTGTTCAGCTAAAAGGAAGGCTTCATGAGTCTAATTCTTCTCAACCTTTTGAAAAACAATTAAAGATCCTAACAACACAGTTTAGTCTCACACAAAGTGAGCAGAGGTTTCCCCGGAGGACCAGGAGATGACTGGCTTGATTTATAATTCAAACCCTCCACTGACGCTGCATTCCACTGACTGCCAAGTGGGCTAGAATCTCTTTCTTTGTTCAAGGTTTGACCCCACAAATTCCTGGTCTAAAATGGGAAGTTTGTCTATAATGGCTGAGGCTACCAATCCATTCAAAGTTTTTCTGGCCATTACAATAGGCTTGGAATGAGCTGTTTCCCAAAAGGCAAACATTCAAAGAAAGAAAAAAAACACCATTAAGAACGTAGAGAGCCTACACGAAATACTCTAGATACATGCTTTAAATGTAAGGGTAGCATTTGAGCCAGAGTAAGGAAAAACGGACTCCCTTTGGTTTCCAGTGATCAGCCCAAGGGGATGTTTTCCACCACCCAGCTCAGACACAGCTATAACCAATTCTTCGTAAACACTGAGTTCTCATCTCTGTGGGACGGCACAAACTTCCCCCAGTAGAGTCAGACAGTGATATGAGATTTAGAATGGGAAAACACTAAAACTATTGTTTGTATCTGAAAGCCTAGGACCAAAAATAATAAGAATGTCTAAAATGCAAACTGAGCATCCATGTCATTTACCTGGCTATGGGTGCAGCACGACCTTGAATTTTAAACTCTGGCTAGCATCTATTGCCTTACTACAAGACCAGGTGGAATCCTCTTGGGAGAATTCACCTGAAACAAAGCCCCTGCCTTAAAGAGCCTCCAGGACCCTGGCTTGAATGAGCTCTAGAGAAGCAAAGGGTCCCTCCCAAAGTGGTGAGTGCTTGAGGAAGTCCCACTGAGTGAGACTCCAACTCTGCACTGTTTTCTCGGAGAACACATACTATTTGACTAAATGTATTACAGGCAAAGCCAATTTGGCATTTAGACCGAAAGACATGGCACCATACACCGTAAGAAACAAGTACATTACCCACAAACACATTCTACACTCATTTTATTCTCTGTCAGATGCCCAACTCTGTCTCA